TATATATATATATATAAAAAAGGATTGTATTTGTTCCAGGCCACAGACCGGGAATCTACTGTCAGCTCTAGAAACAAGCTGGCAGCTAACGCATGCTAAAGGTACCACACTAGATCTGATCCAAGTTCTTTTTCAATTACAGCAGACCCTAAACCCACCTCTGCCTGTTTTCTGCATTTAGTTCTTGGCTACTCAACTTTCCCAAGTGCTGCTATTATACTGGAAGTGTCTATGTTCACTCTTATCACAAGGGGATGGCTTTACCCTGTAGCAAAGGACACCAGCAGTTGGACCACAGTGTTCGGGAATCTGCTTGGATTTTCTTCCCTGCCGTCTCTAGATGGCGTTGCTCCTCTGCCCAGGAGCTGTAGATGGTGGCAGCTCGTGTGTGCAAGGTGTGCATGAGGTCCAGGAGCTGCAAGTCAAGCATCACATTAAGCAACACATAGAACTTACATTTCTGATGCAATCCTGGTCTCTGCTCTTCTCCAAACCAATGTTAAAATGCTCACAGCTGCTAAAGCCTGCTTCCTGTATGTACATAACCATGTATAGCTATGGAGATGGTGTCAGGCTCAGCTGTCTGTGCCCTCTCTAAGTGGCCAAGTGCCAAGCATCTTTAGCAAGACCTGAGTCGGTTCAGTAGCCATGTCAATCCCATCTTCGACGAACAGCATCCCAGTCCTGCCAGGAGAAAGAATGGAGCCTTTCCTGGCACAGAGCATTGACTCACTCAGGCAGAAGGGGAAACCCAGTGATTCAGCTATGCTGTCCAGGGACTCTGCAACTTTTTTCTTTTTAACAAAAAAACCCCATGAAGCACAAGCAAAGCTCCCTCAGAACAGCTCCACATGGATAAACGACAGCATTCTAGTCACTTTACTACTGGACTGAGGCCCAACAGCCTGGCAGTTGACAGGCCTGTGCCTTCACACCTTTGAAGTACTGCCTAGAGAGAAATTACTCCCTATCCCAGTCCTCTGTACTTGAAATCCCAGTGCCTCAGCCCACAGGGCGTTCCCCTTTCCACAAGCTCAGATACCTTATCAGACTCCTCACTAATCCTACATAAACCTCACGCCTCCAAATGCCCTAGATCCACATCCATCTTACCTACTATAGTGACTCACACCTCCGGACTCCATCCTCCTTGCTTCCCAGAGGAGTTCTCTCTCCATTGCTATTCTGCTTTTGTCTGTCCAAATTGCAGTGTTCCTCTTTCACTGCAGAACCACACACTGCCACAAAAGCCACTCTCTGGCATCCAGTGCTCACTAACCTAGGATGCAGTCCTCCCTTGCCCCATGAAGAATCCCAGTGACTCCCTAGCAAGGCCCCAAGCATGGGAAAGGAGAGGAGGAAATCCTTGCTATACTTACGTCCTGACTAACCTGTAAAGATACAGTGTGGTAGCTGGCAGGGATGCTCTCATCCTCGTCCTCATCACTGTGTGTGTGTGCCTGGTGTTGGCTCAAGACCCGGGATCGCCGTGTGGAGCTCTCCTTTGGCTTTTTTTTTAACCGACTGGATTTACTGTCATACCTGTGGCTTTTCCCCCTCTTTTCCTGGGATTTGTAGCCTAGAAAGTGAAAGGCAGCAACATACCACATACACACACTCCACCACGAAATTTTCTGCCTTTCAACACACACAGCAGCCACCTTTTGATATCCCCGGCAGAGGGCCCTTTCCCATGAAATGACAACTACCCACTTGAAGAGGTACCCAGCACCCCTCAGCAACAGCTGATACTGCTAAAGCCCCATCAGCTCCAGACTTTCCCCTCTACCCCAGGGAGAGTGATAAGAATAATGTCCCTGCTGCCAAGCAGGAGCCAGGACACTTTTCTCACAGCAGACCATATTCTGGGCATTGGAGACTCAATCCCTGACAGTACACACGTCACGCTTCTTGCTGCCTGGCTACCCCAAGTCCAATCCTGATTGTTAAACCGAAGGTCATCTTACCCCCATTCAAGCTTGCCTCCACAAAGATGCGGATGGTTTTGACACAGAGCTCGAAGTTCTCAGGTGTAACATGGGCAGCATCTCGCACTATGAAGGACAGGGACTCTACACACTTCATGAGAGACTTTGTATCATGTGGGCCCAAATCCAGCCCCACAGTCAGGCTGTACTGGTTGACAAGAGGAGACGGCCCCAGTCTGCTGAGCCCAGCAGTGGATCTGGAGGTGTCAATGTCATCTTTCCCCACCTGCAGGACACAGCAAAAGGGTATCAGGAGAGGGTAGCATAACAAAGAGCACCTCATACACACGCTTAAAGGGACTTTTTTCTGAAGTCAACAGGTAACATTTCTGTAGGATCCACTTCCCTTTTTTCCTTATTTGCCTCCAAGATTTCTCCTCTCCATCTGCATCTTCTCCCCATCCTCCCTTTACAATGTTAGCTCATCTTAGCTTTCTTTTGTACTATCTTATTCTTTCTCTCCCTACCACACCCTCTGTCCACAACCATGCTAGGAGTAGTCTTCTTCAAGCACCAGAAGCCCATTGGCTACTCACCACAAGCCAGCCACTGTTCATGACATCCACATCTGTCCCCGAGCGATGCATCTTGCCTGGCTTCCCATGGTCTGTGTACACCTCTGAATCAGAGGTGTAGCCACGGTCCAGGCTCATGTCACTAGGATGATAGGAGGAGGAGACCTCGCTGTCTGACTGAGCACCTTCAAGACAAAAAGCATGGGTTTTAGATGAATGCCAAATCAAGAACTTGGAAGAGTAGCTGTGGATAAGGGAGAAGCAATCCAGACTAGTCAGATTAGCACTAGCTAGGAACCACCAGTGGGCCCTGGAAGATACTGCACCAGACCTCTCCACCTGTGAGAACTATAACAGGAACATGCACAGAAGACAGCAGGAAACACATCTTTGACACTTTCTCTCTGCAGGTGTGTTTAGCCTTCCCCTTCAGAGGGAAGGGGCTTTCCATCCTCTGCTGTGTCACTTGTCAGCCTGACCATGATTTTAAAAAGGGCACAAAGTCCAGTGCTTTGACCACGGAGGAAGAATCAGATGTGCCACACAATTTAAGAACTACTGGAGGTGCTAGGTTCAGACAAGACAACTCAAAAAGCACAACATGGAATCACATGACTCATGTAGGGCCTCTGCTCCAACTAATACCAGTAAAATCTCTCTCATGAACAGCAATCTACATTAGCATGTTCTATACTGTCGGATCTACCTTCCCTGACCCTTAGGATAACCTTAAATTTCATGTCTCAAGCACAGCAGTCTTTGCAAGGGCCAAATTTAAGCTACTGCTATGTTACTTAAAAGAAAAAAATCATCCTCTCCATCATTCAACATTATCTAGCAACTCAGCAACAGAGAGACAGACTGAACACAGTGTACCACACATTTTCAGAGGGAACTAATGTTCTGATATGCAAAGTGTCACAGTCAAGTAGTTTGCTCAACCAGCAGGACACAAACAAGAGAAAAGAAGATGAAAAAAAAAATTATGGGAGAGGACAGCCCAGTATTAGCCCGGAAGGCAAAGGCCACAGGACTTTTGCAAAATCAGTTTCCTCCTGTCTGTCTAGCCCAGAGGATCAGGACCCAGCCAGGAAGTTCTAGAGAAGCAAAGAGGAAAACAAAGGCTTCTGGAAAAGTCTTTTCTTACTATTTGCTTTAAAAGCCTGAAGCTGTCAGCCTCAAATACACTGCCAGCTGGCTAAAGCAAAAGAGGAACAGTTTGCTGAAAAGACTGTCTTTCTAACACAGTCAAGTGGGAAATAGTGCATTGGTCTAGGCACTCTGAACACGAATGTATTTGGAAACAGAATATTAAAGAACAACACCCTTTATGAGATCCTTAAAATGGGGACAGAAAAGAGTCAGTCCCACAAAAAGCAGCAAGTATGACAGGAGCAACAGCTGGATTTACATTACACACCCAGATGAGATATTAAGTCTATATTACCCAAGGCACCAGACCACAACCAGCAGAAAATGCTTCTCGGGCAGAGCAAAGACCTTCTACAGCTGCTACAGCTGAGATCAGTTTTCCTCCCACTGCTCCCCCAGGGACTAGCACCTGGACTGCTGCTCACCGAGTAGGAAGAGATGGCAGCATAGAAACAAGGACAGACCATGGGGTAGGAGTGAACAGCAGGTGCTGGTCTTTAATCTTGCTAATGTAGTTTAATATCAGCTTTGTTTTCTTGTAGTCCCCTTTGCTAATTGAAAAGCTTGAGGAAGCAGCTGCTTATCTGGCAGGCAGGCATCAGATTTCCTAGCAAAAGCTGGCCTGTCTTACCTGTGTCATTATCTGCCCTTGCTGTAACCTGCAGGGCTGCAGGTGGCTTCACCCCAGACCCAATACACTCCAGGAGGGTGAAGAGCGTGTACCAGTCATCCCCAGAGTGAATGTTGGCAGCATTGGTCTTCAGGAGTTCATGGAGGCCGTAGGCAACCTCATGGCTAACTCTGGACAGCACATTTGGCTTCATCATGAGCAGGATACGTAATGAGAGGAGAACCTGGCCAGAGAAGGAAACAGGAATAACAATCCCTATTATTTACACTCCATTCTCCAGCAAAGTCCCCCTCCATTTAATCAGAGCTACTTACAACTGCTGTTTGTTGTTATCTGCAGCACAGACAGGTTAAATAAGGGTCCAGCCAACAAAAACTGGTTTCCTGTGTTGCCAGGTGTAGCCACAAAACCGCAGTAACTGACCTTCCAAAATCCCTTACCTGTGCGCTGATTTCTTCCCGGCGAAGGAGCCGAATGGCCAGTCTCAGCAGCCCCACCACTGCCCTCTCCACCAAGAAGCAGAACTCCATTGCATGGACACAGAGATGATAGAGGTGGTCTCGGACAGTTTGCCAGACACAGGTCACACGGTCCCTAGGCACAATAAGGAGGAGGGGAAGAGT